GGTTTAAATTAGCCTGTACAATCGGAAATAGATACACTCAATCCTTCTGAGTTATCTTGTGCGTGAGAATCATTGCTATGATGACTTGAAAAATATATCGAGTAGTTCTCTCGGCGGATCCATTAATCCATGGGAAGTATGCTGGCGTGAATGTCTGCTGCGTCCGTAGTCTGCGGCTCAACTCCGTCACTACTTCATTCTTGAAGTGTGTGCCCTGGTCCGACATCCGGCGGAATGCAGTACTGCGAGGGCCACGCTAACAGGGCTTCTACCGTGACTCTGCTGTCGACCGTGTCTACCACGACTAGCTCACAGTAATGAGTAGCGTGGTCCTTCAAGACAAGGATGTATTTGCTATCTCCATAACTTGGTCCCATAGAGAGAAAAACAAAATGCAAAATTCGGTTGCGTGTACTGCAGTCGATCTCTTCGCCCCACGGACGTGGGATAACCCCCCCCCCCCGACAATGCAGACACAGAAAACACTCCTTTTTGATTTTTTCTCACAATATCAGCAACGTTGTTGATCACAAAAAGTCGTTTAAGGAGGCCTTCTGGCCGCGGTGGCCTTGGGCTCCACAATGTGCGATGATGCATTGTCGCCGGATTAGCTCGGAAGCTTCCGACGTCACCCAAACGCGTCCTCCTAGTGTAACCGTTCCGTCTTCTGCGGTTGACGACCCTGTCGGTTGATTATACTGACCTTGTACAGTACAAAGCTCCGCCAAAGTTGGCCAGACGAAATCGTCGTCATCCAGTGGTCGAAGTCTCACCCTGGTCGGCGTCGTTTGTCGTATTGTTCTAATTCGCTGCACTGTTGTCACAGGAATGTGGTTTCCGGCCCACCGCGAGATCATATCGGCCTATACATTGTCAGGACCTGATACATGTTCAATGATGTACCTGAATTCATGAGCTTCATCGCCCACCTGAGAAGCTTGTCCTTCACGTGCTTTTTGGCACTCTCATGTGGCGCGAAAACGTGGATCAAATTTCTATGATCGCAAAACATTCGAAATGGCTGAGGTCGTAGCAGCAAAAAGTCCATCTTCTCGCAATCAGCATGGCTTCCTTTTCGATGACAGTCCAGTTTAACTGGCTGCCAGTGAAAGTCCCAGCCATGCACTGGATGAGTTGGTGTTGCTACTCTGTGATTTGCCGCTTCGGGTCGTACTCCTTCACTTGGGTCACGATAACTGCCCAACCAATGTCAAATGCGTCAGTGAAAGGCACGTTGTGGCGTTGTCGTCACGGAAGTCTAATGTCGTCGACGTTGCCAACAATTTCTTCACTTGGTTTAAAGCCTGTTACTCCTGCTTGTTCAACTCGATCTCAATTCCTACTGCTCCACGTCGTGTACGCTTTGTGCTCGCAAGGGCTTCATCGAGACGTCGCTGAAGGGGGGGGGGGAACTTGCCGCGCAGAATCTACGAGACTATCTCGCATCCAGTTGATAGCACAAACGAATTGCTGTAGCTCTCCAGCAGCTGTCAGGTACGGCCGTGATCGTAGAGTGTCGATCCGTGCTGCATCATGCCGTACACCTTGGTGATTGATCACACGTCCACACCACTTTACATCTGTCTGGTAGAGACTTGATTTCTTGACGCTCAATTTCAATCCAAATGATTCAGCAACGAGAAAAACTCAGCTAGTTTTTCCAGATACAACTCAATGTCGTCCGCGTACAGCAAAAGGTCATCGATCCAGATCAAAAGATGTTCATACAGCAAACTGGCGAAACACTCTTCCATTGTCTTCTGGAAGTGAATCGCAGCATCTGCACATCCTTGGGGTACACGGCGAGGTGTGAAGATCTTATTGTCAGTCAAGTAGGACATGAACTCTTGACAGAGCTTTGCTAGAGACAGCTACCAAAAACCTTAAAGAGTCCGCAATGCGTCATGTCACGTGCATTTTCCAAAACTAATGAAAGCATCGGCATCACAGCTGCCATCACGTCAGTCTGCACATTTCTTGCTCGATAGTCCGTTGTTTGCCGCAAATCCATGATGTCAGCTGACTTCTTGACCGGTAGAACGGGGCTCGCCGGTCGACTCTTGTGATTCTCATAGACGAGCCCTAATTCCACAAGACGAACATTGAATTCACGTAAGAGCCGTCTGATGCGCGGAAGATATATTTGCGGGGCTTACACCTTGTAGGACGAGCCCCATCCTTCAGTCGCTCTTCCCGTGGCGGTACGTTAACTGGAGGGCCATCACAAAGTTCGAGCCGCCAAATGTTATAGGCATGGGCAGTCGTTCGCAATTGCTCCACGTGCCTCACAGGAAATCCATTTCCAGTGCACGATCAATCAGACGCTCCACAGCGGCGAAAATATTATCATCTCCACTTGGTTCAGAAACGTCAAGATTGACAGGCATCTCGTCCGCCTCCGGATCGATTGGATCATCACTGTTCTCTCATCATCACAGCGCATATATAGTTGTTCGAGCTGGCGATCGACGTCAATCCCTAGCGAGGTCAATAGGTCATTACCTACTATAAATTCTCCATCATCGACATCAACCACCAGAACGTCCACCATGTTCATAGGCTCCACAAGTCCAGCGGCTGTGTGTATCACCAGATGCAGTTTGGCCTTCACCTTGGCTGTCACTGTCACTGAACCAAATGTGTGGTTCAACACTGGAACTTCGAGTTTCTCGGTCGTCAGACTTGGTTCTAGTGTCTTCAATTTCTCACAATGCGAGTGTCCAATAACCGTGAAATCAGATCCACTGTCGGGACAGTATGGCAGCTCTACTACTCCATTTAACAGCACCACTCGATCAGCAGATGGGAGTAATTCGCCAAGTCGTTTTAGCTTCGCCTTCTTATTTCTGCGTGCGTCGCGCATCTTCTTGTACAGCTCCTCCTTCTCCTGTCGAGAGACTTGAGTGCACTCGCGCAACTAATGC